ATATCTACAATAAGCCTCCTCAACCATACCTTGGAGTAACTTCACCACCATCTTGGTTAAGATGACCCTGTGGTATAAACCAGCTAAAGCAACAATTCCAGAACTTCTCAGTCCTACCGAACCCTTGGCTTATCCTTACACTAAGGAAGCAACGGCAGGTCTCCAAAATGTTTTTGGATTAAGAAATTCCCAGGGTTGTAAAGATATACTCAGGTGAACAACAGACAAAAACCAAAGCAAAAACAACAACAAGAAAACTGACTTAGAGATGTGTGTCTAACCACTCACATATCTTTGCTAACTGCTTCATACCATGCTTCTAGAAAAGTTTTAGATAATGAACAACATATCTGCAAATAATTGCATGTTTAATAAAATGTGTATAAATTCTTAAAGTTATAAAGTTATACACAACTTGACAGAAGCTGACTTAGAAATGTAGTCTTACTACTTATGTCTTTACTAACTGCTCAATACCAGCCTTCTAGAAAATTTAAACGAGGGACAATATACGTTTGGTAAATAATAAGGTAAATAATAAATAAGGTTTATAAATTTCTAAGGCCGACTCAGTTTAACAGTAATTCACTTGAAGATATATGTCTAGCTTCTTTGTCTTTGCCAACTTTACTAAGATTTAGCTGTTTGGATAAATTAAGTCATCTAAGAAACTGTGATGTTCTATAATGGCACACTATAAAAGGAATAGTAAAAATTATATTGAAACCCATTTTGTAAGTTTATCTCTTTCAGCGTGAAGTCTGCAAGCAAGGCAAACTGTGTCTGTGTCTGCCTTCTCAGCAGAAAACCTAATAACTCTAGAAAAGTGGGGCTTGAGGCTTGATTTTTACATACGAAATGAACTAACAAGACAGCTGCAGCCTTATGGGAAGGTTTGCTTGCTGCTGTCAACATAAAGTCACAGTTAGCTGTCAATATCATCAGAGTTCGGAGAAGGAGAAATTAGAAGCAGGAAGTATAATCCAAATGGCCTATGTATCAATTAAAATGACAGGGACTTACCAATACCTCGATGGCTACCCTAGGCTTCTAGATGGTTTTGTTGGGGGCAGAGGTTGTAGGTCTTTGACTGTCACACAGGACAGCGTGACATCTTCAGCTGCTGCACGGGACAGCATAAGCCTTTGGCTGCCAGACTTTCCTGTGCAGGAGGAACCTGGGAAAACTGACCTGCTAGGGTGAGGCAGAGTAGGGCAGTCAGCTCAACTGTGGCCACAGTGTGGGCAGAGCGCTGATGGCAGATAAGACGTGGGGCAGTTTTCTCCAGCTTAATGTTACCCTAATTCAGGAGGAGTTGTCTTCTTTGGAGAACTTAGGGTTTCCACTAGGATCTGGCATTTCTATCTGTCATGGGAAACTTTTTCATTAAACACTTTAAATGGCATATTCAGCAGATCTCTGAAGAGTTTGAGGACCATTATCTAATGATTTTTAACAAACTTGACTTGTTTTTAGTTACTTGCTTTAGGCTTAACCTTGAAAACGTGCACAGAAGGCTAAATAAAACTTGTCATTGTAAGTGAACTACACTTGTATTTATCATGACTAACAAAGTTTTGAGAACATTAAAGAATTTGATCATTTATAAGGTGAGTGTGCATTAACGTGTGTGTCTTAATTATCTTTAGCAGTTTATAATGAGTTAGTAGTTTTTATAAGATTTTATAAGATTAAGATTTTACAGCTTTTCCCTATTGTATGAACTCTTTTTTAATCTTAGGAAAGATGGCTGCCAGCCACACGTTTTCTTCCATCCTAATGAGGTCATCAGCCAAGAGAGAAGTGAACTACATGGTTGTTATCTAAAAATATCTACTTTTCTTAGTATATCTATTTTTTAAATAAGAATTGAATCTAAGTTGCATATATAGTATATTCTAAACATGGGTTGATTCACATATAGAATGTTGAGCAAATTAAGACTACCCATGGGGGCTGGAGAGATGGCTCAGTGGTTAAGAGCATTGCCTGCTCTTCCAAAGGTCCTGAGTTCAATTCCCAGCAACCACATGGTGGCTCCAACCATCTGTAATGAGGTCTGGTGCCCTCTTTAGGCATGCATGTAGACAGAATACTGTATACATAATAAATAAACAAATAAATATTAAAAAAAGACTACCCATGTACAGATTTTTAAATTATAATCCTTTTATTATAAGTTTTAAGTTAAAATTTGACTCTAGCTGTCCTGGAACTCACTTTGTAGACAAATCTGGCCTCAAACTCACAGAGATCTGCCTGCCTCTACCTCGCAAGTGCTGAAATTAAAGGAGTGTGCCATCACACCCATTGTTACAGTTTTTAACCATACCCAATGATTTACAAATCATGAGATATTTGTAGCATAGTTCTAAGAGATGTTTTGAGAACAGGGAAATTATAGAGATAAGATTTTTTTAAGAGTCAGAAGTAGAGAAACCTTAGAGGTGAGAGGCTTGGAAGTGGAGAGCAGGAAAGAACTGAAGTCTAAGAGGTTCTGTGGTCAGTTTGCGCAGTGGCTGAAGTCAAGTGTGCCATCTTTGCCCATTGATTGGGCTGTACCAAGGCCAAGACGTCTATAGCCAGACAGTGAGGCTTAATGAACTCACTGAGTCCAAGGAGGAAAGGAGAAAGGGTTATAAAGCAAACTCTGCTGGAGGGAGTTCCTGTGAGCTCCTAGAGAAACGTCCTGGAAAGCACAGACAAGCTGCAGGACCTCCAGGAGAGAGCTGAGAGGGAACAGGATAGGGAACTACAGGAACTTCTCCTGAGGGAAGAGAGGCCAGGAGAGATCAAGGAAGAGACAGAGCAGGCATTCTGAGGGGAGGGGAGGGGAAGGGAGGAGAGGGAAGGGAAGGAAAAGGGTCATAGTAAAGGCTCAGGGGAATATAAGGAAGCTACCTGACTTCCAGGATGGAGCTAAGAGACAGAAAAGGGGCAGGTTTACAGAGGCCCAAAAAGGTTTAAGCAGATCCTAGGGGGAGGAGAGGTAGAAGAGAAGAGGAGAAAACAGCTGAATATGTGGACCAGGAGAGGATTTGGGGAAAAGAGAAGGGGTTAGTGTATTGATAGAGAGGTATGCCATGTGGGGCCACATGAGGCCTGGAGGGCATAGTAGATTCCAGGAGCCAGAGAGCCACTTATGAAGTAGACAGGGAGAGGAACAGTTGGAGCGTATGGTGGGAGGAAGCAGCTGTGAAGCAGACTCTAGAATTTGGAGTCCAATTTGGTGGGTGGCAGAAGCCAGCAGGAACTAATGATCCTTATATACCTTAGAAGGGCCAAACAACAGCTTGGTTCAGAGTGACTGAGTTCTTGGAAGGAGGCTCCTACAGGCCAGTCCTATGGGTTTGGCACCAGGTGAATGAAAAAATGAGGATGTGACTGGCTCCAGGTATGGTGGAGGAGAAGGTTTATTGTAGATATGAGGGGAAGAATGGCCAGAGGTGTCTGGAAGAGTCCAGACTGAACCAGGCTGGCAGAATGAGCAGGACCCTGAGCAGAGGGTGGGGGTGGGGAAATGAGAGAGGAAGAAAAGAGAGAGGGAGCAAAGAAAACACCTGGGAACCAAAAGCACCGAGACACCAAGAGGACCAAGAGGACAGCTGGGTTATATTGGAGTCAGAGAAGCTGCGGGGAGGGAAGGGAATCTCAGGGACTGGAGAGTTTAGGGTAGGGGTGGAGTATACCAGCCCAGGTGACTCTATAACAGGGACTTGTGCATGGAAACTAAGGGAGACCTAGGCCAGCCACTGCTTTGGTATGTTAAGTAGGCATCTCAGCCATTTGTCCCAGTCTGCTGCATAACATTTCTGTTTTAAAATCTAATTCTAACATGGCATGGTGGTGCAGGCCTTGAATCCCAGCACTCTGGGGATAGAGGCAGGTGAATCTCCTGCTTGCATAGATAGCAACCTCTAGGTCAGCCAGAGTCATAGAGGGAGGCTCTGTCTGAAAACAAAAACAAGCCTCTTCCCCATGTAATTCTATTTTTTTTTGTAATTTTATTAAATTATAAAAAGTTTCCATTTACGCCCCTCCTCCCAACGCCCTCCCACTCCCCCCCTCCCTCTCCTCCTCCCTCTTTGTCCCCTAGGGAAGTCAGGGTCTCCTGCCCTGTGGGAAGTCCAAGTTCCTCCCCCCTCACTCCAGGTCCAGGAAGGTGAGCATCCAAACAGACTGGATCCCAAAAATCGAGTATATGAAGAGGAAACCAGTCCCAGTGTCATTGTCAATGGCTTCTCGGAAAGACTGCAGGCCAGCCACATTCAGAAAATCCGGCCACATTCAGAGAATCTGGTTGGATCACATGCTCGTTCAGTCACGGTCCATCTGGCCTTGGTAAACTCTCATTAGATCCGACCCCTTGTATCAGTGGGTGATAGTATCCCTCGCAGTCCTTCGTCATTTTCTTCCTCCTTTTGCTCCTCGTTTGGATCTTGGGGGGCTCAGTTCGGTGCTCCAACGCGGGCCTCCATCTGTATCGTCATCCAACGCCAGATGAGGGATCTCTCTGGGAAGAACTGCCCCCCATGTAATTCTAAATCACAAATACTGTGCAAATTTAAAATGAAAAAAAAAGTCTGTTAGAAATAAGACTAGGCTGCTATCTAAAAATGCTGTGCTACCTGAAGGAAGCTGCTTACCTTCCCCGGTTTGTTTCTTTCCTCAAGCTCCTTCAATGTGCAAGTCCATGTGCAAGTCCCAGCACATATGAGTGACAAAGGCATCAGGAATGTCATGTCTGGCATCTAGGATGCATGCATGAAGGCACACCTACAAGTCATCAGCACCCACTGGGACAATTGTAATCGATTGCATCTGTCAGGAGAAAGGGCAGTGGGAGTGTGACCAGGAACCATGTCCAGTGAACTGAACATGATGAAAGCCACCAATCGGGGCAACTACAAGTGGTTGACTGCCAACTATACTCTTTAAATATATTATTTTTCTATTCTCTGTTTTAAAATAAAACCAAAGTATTGATGAAAAGAAAAAAAGGAAGGAAGGAAGGAAGGAAGGAGAAGAGAAAGGAAGGAAGGAAGAAAAGTTCAAAGAAAAATTCAAATCTCTCTCCTAGCCTTACTCTCTTCAGCTCTTCAGAGGACCAAAGTCCACAGCCTCAACTCACTGAAGAGCCCACGTCCTGACTGTGGTCTAGCAGCTTGCTAAATAGTCCCATGACTTAGGGGGTACAGGCTGACTTCCTTCCATCATTTTGTTGTTTCAACTTCGGCATGGTGGCTGTGTCTAAATGAACTGCTATTTCAGCCAGCAGTTACCAGCCTGCTTCCCTAGCATTGACCTGGCTCCGCAGGCCACAGCCTGATGGGAACTCTGTTCTGCAGGCCCTGCAGACAGTGCTCTGTCACAGATGCTAAAGGTAACTTTAACTAAATCTCGATTGTTCTAGCTATACATAAGACTCAAGATTCAAAGGTTGGGGTGAAAACCTGCTAGCTCAGAGAGGCTGGGTCACAGCTAGCTAGCCTTCTCTCCTTGCTTGCTTCTGTTAGTATTCAAACATCTGCACTGGCCTGACCTTGGGGTGTACATCCCCAGCTGTACCCCACTAAGAGCACCACCTGTGCACATTCCCTACATTCTCTTTTAAAGGCCTGCTCACCTTCCATCCCTCCTTTCTCTTACTGTCTATCTGTATGTCCGTCCATCCATGTGCCTCTCTCTCCCTTCCCCTCCTCTCTTCTCTTCTGTCCCCAGAGGCCACTACCCCCTCCCTTTTCCCCCTTTTCCCATTCACTTTCCTCTAATAAAGAACCCATCCATCTGAGCTCTGTCACATGGCGTCTTTCTCTCTCATACCAGTTTTTTATAATTTATAGCAACTTCTGCTTTGCCAAACCTGAAAAAAATTGTGCCACTCTAAATCCTGCCTTGCTGCTTCCTCTGTCTTTCTGTTTCTTCTAGATGCCCGCTGGGGATGGATCTATGATTACTTTCTGTCAACTAGTTGCTAACTCAGCCTCCTGATCCAAGGTTGGTTTTATTTAATTAACACAATGCAAACTTGGGCTTCAAAGTGTGATGGAATATTCCCAACATCACCTATCATAAGGTAACAAACCATCAGGCTTCTGGTAAAATATAAAATAATTGAAATGGGTTAACATAAGATGTAAGAGTCAGCTAGGAATAAGCCTGAGCCATTGGCTAAAGAGTGCTGTAATTAATATAGTTTTTGTGCGATTATTTGGGTCTGGGTGGCCAGGAAACAAAAGTGCAATCTCTTTTATACCTTACTGTTACTTGCTTATCTAGTTAACCCTGTTGCTAGACAGAAGCCAATACTTCAACTAAATGACCACAACATTTAATCCCTGTTGTTATTTGCTTGTAACTGCAGTCACCCTATGCTTCCCACTGGGACCTAAATTGTTCATTTCATACAATGGTATTTAGTAGGCATCCAGCCTCTTTCAGACGCTGACTAGTTGAGGCCCCTTAGCCCAGAATCTTCTTTTTCTCCCTTTAAAATTTTTCTTCTCATCATTGTGAGTTGAATTATGCATATTCTCCGGGAGCCACTTTTGCTTCTTTGCAAATGAGGTAAGACATCTGAGGAAATTATTCACATTTCTATTTTTCAAAATATCTTCTCACTTTTGTGTGGGTGTTATTCCCAAATAGATCAGTTTGACAGTAAATGCAAATAATGCTTGCCATCATCGGCCTCACTTGCTTTAATTTTTACTGTCTCCAGTAGATGAAATAGTATTTTTTCAGTTGTCTCTTGCTATTTGTCCCTTTTAAATCTTACTCTTTAAAATATTTATTGAAAAATAATTTATAGTAAAATGAGAGAACCTGCCATCATGATTGGCATAACACAGTTGCAGCGGGTGCCTCAGTCAGTGCTCTCAGTAGATGTTACAAAGCTTTTCACACCTTGAAACTGCTGCCCTATCAGTGCCTTCTCTAATACAAGCATACATTAATTTATTTCAGATATATTGCCTATTTTTTTTACCTGCCTGACTGTTGTAAGAGGAGCAGGCTGCATCCCACCAGGCTCCTGGCCGCCCGACTAGCTTACACAGAAAACTGTGTTCATTTAAACCCTGCCTGGCCCATTATCTCCAGTCCCTTATTGGCTAACTCTCACATATTAGTTTAACCCATCTCCATTAATGTGTATCGCCACTTGACTGTGGCTTATCAGCATGAGTCTAGCCAGCGTCTGTCTTGGAGAAGAGAGCCATGGCATCTGTCACACTGCCTTTTTCTCTCAGAATTCTGTTCTGTCTACCACGCCCATCCAAGGGCTGCCCTATCAAAAGGCCAAGGCAGTTTTCTTTATTCAACCAATGAAAGCAACACATCGAAAGAAGACCCTCCTACACCACCTGACTTTATAATTGATTACTGTAAGAGTCTAAGTAGTTTTTTAATGCCAGGAGTCTGAGGTGACTTAGACACTGTGGTTCTTATAGAGACAACACAGCAGAAGGCCTGTTGGATGCAGACAGCATATTGAGAAACTGAATCTTGGGAAACTTGCCAGGATTGCATTTTGACCTTGAGTCAGTCACTGAAGCAATGATTTCACCAGTGTCAAGGTGACCTTGCAGCACAATGTGAGAAGTAAGAACAAAACAAGAGTTTTCAAAAACAAAATTTATTCAATTTTTTTTAAAAAAGTGAAGTTTATGCCTCTTTTATTTTTTGAAAGGTAACTATTTTTTTTTTCTGTAACATGAAGATATGACAGCAATGATAAACCTTCCTCATAGTGTCTTCACTTGGCAAGTAAAAATAGGTGGTTGCTATAATACCAGTTTTTCTGGACATTTGGGGATTATTGAGACCTCAAAGTCTAGAAATGAAACAAGTTACTTCCTCATATTTACTTATTTACAGCACCCTCTCATGACTTTCTTTCCTTCCCTAGTATCCAAATGGGATTTACTCTTTTCCAAATCAATGTAAAATTCAAGGTCTTGCCTGTACTGGTATGTTCTTCTAGCCCAGTTATCATGGATGTTTTCTTGTGATAATTGCTCCAAGGATTTACAGGGAACAAACCCACAGACACATGTGAACATGAACATATGTAGTCAATAAAAATTTGTTCGGAGTATAGGTGTTGACAAATAGCACTAAGCATGGGGTTATGGGACAATATCCAGGTTACCTACTTGGTAACTTGGAGTGGTGCCCAGGGAGGGAGAGGCCCCTGCAGTTGGAGGTTGGCATAACTGAAGGTTTCTCGCCCTGCCTGGTCCCACAGTCACTTTTGAAGTAACCACTCAGAGGCTTATTATTAATTGCATACTATTTGGCCTATTAGCTTAGTTTTATTATTAATTATCTCTTATATCTTAAATCAACCCATTTCTATTAGTTTATATTTTACTACAAGGTTTGTGACTTGTTACTTCACATCTTGCTTCTCTGGCAGCTACTAACCTCTCCCTATATTTGGTTTGGCTTACCTGCCTAGCTATATTCTGCCCTGCCATAGGCCAAAGCAGTTTCTTTATTAACCAATGGTAATTAAACATATTCACAACATACAGAGGAGCATGCCACATCAGGTTGAGATACTTTCATGAAAAAAGTGATATTTGTTTTGAACTCTGAGTGATGACGAGGCATTGTTACTGAGATTGTGAGAAGAGCATTCCAGGTCTGGAGCACAGCCTTAATGCGGAATTCGACTTTCCAGAGATCTTGGATTGGAATTGGGAACAGAATTCAAATTTCTGTTTTGAACACATGCAGTTTAAGTTGATCATTGACATCCAAGGGGACATTTTGCATCTACATCTAGATGTGTCAGCATTGAAAAGCATCAGCCCATGAATGATATTTAAGTTAGATAATCAATGGTCCTTTAAAGCAATAGGACCAAGAGCTGTGTAACTGTGAATCTAACGTTCATACACTGAGGGATAGAGGAGGAATGATTGGCAAAAGAAACAGAGAAGGAGCCACTGGAGAAGGGAAGAAACCCAGAAACATTCAAAGACGAATATTCCAAACATGAGGGGTCGACTGTGACCAAATGCAGTGTTAGTAGTTTTTTTTAATACAAAAATTCTTTTCATTAATTTTGATGATGATTGCAGGAGAAGCAAAGGTGGGCCCTTACTTTATTTAGGCAATGCCTAATTTAAACTAAACTATGATCATACTTCATTGCTCAGATGGGCTCAGATCTCTGCTTTCTTCCTGAGCCTCAGGACTGAGAACCCTACTTTCTCTAGTTACTTTCCCATGTCAAAGATAACAGCCAGGTCAGCCCTTCTCCACAGGCCTGCCTTTGAACCGCCATTTGAATCTGAAAGCCTGTTTTGCTTTCTTGACTACAGAGAAAAGAAAACACATTTTGTGAGACTCAAGTCTGCTCAAATCCCACCACAGATTCAAGCCAGTCTCCACTTACCTAATAAATGTAGATGAAAAGTTATTTGCATAAAATAGCTATGATGATAATCAGATTCCCCATCCCACTTCTTTTTGAGACCTTTGCTGGTTCTCAAGAATGTTCCATATGAAGAACACACTTAGAGAGGGCAGAAGGACATTTGTGAAGTAGACTCCTGTGATGTTTCCCACATTCCTTTGGAGTGAGTGATTCTTGGTGAAGATGGCCCGGGACAGTCAAAGCTGCCTGGAGAGTTTGGCCTTCTGGTCTTCTGTATTACATCCTTACTGTCATTTTCCCAGTTTTGTGTGCTACTTCGACAGAAGCGCAGATAAAGATAATTGGACTTGAGTTTGAGATAACTAAGTTCTGCCCTGGACTCCGGGCAAGCTAAAACTCTCAGAGGATCTCAAGTAAATGGACTTGTTTGACACCTCAGCTTAGCTTTTTAAAGGGTAAAGTCATAACTCAGACAAATGTAATATGAATATATAATAAGGGTTTTATTTCTTAAGGAAACTCTAAGATTTAAAGACTTGTCCAAAGAATAATTGTGATTATATTTGTGTGTACGATTTATCAGTTAGAGTAAAAAGTGAGCACTTTCCAAGATGACGCTAAATTAACCCATGTGGTTATTTGCTCTCTTGAATAGAAATGATTTCCATCTTTACTGGAGAAAACTATTCAAACCAGCCTCTATACGTGCAGAACTGGAAAGTCAACAGAAAATCAGGTACAGTATTGCACTGAGCAAAGATCCCACAATCTTTTCAGCCTGTTTTCCAATGTCAGGAGGTCTTTCTGACACTGCATACCTCTGTGTGTGATCCTGAGTATCTTGTGTACACACATATGCTGAGCAGAGCAGTGTGTGTTGTCTCCGTGAAGCTTTACCGACCTTGTGGGGCACACCATTTCATTAACTTTATCTCACAGTGGTGACAACCATGCTTTGGAATGGTTTATTAACCAGATGATGGCCATAAAATTCCTAAGAGCCAAGGGTGGCATCAGACAGACTCATCTGACTCCAAAATCTTTGAGTCGCTACTTAGTACTCATTATTATTCGAGTCAAGAGGAATGGTGAAGATGAAATACCAAGGATTATGAATATATTACAAAATGTAAGGCATTTCCGCTGACTCAGTGGCAGCCTGCAATGCTGCCAGGCCAGGGTGGAAGAAGTACTCATCACAACAGATCAGCGCTGGGAAGGGGATGCCCGAGGTTTTACTCTGCTCACCCACCGAGTAGCTTTGCTTAACGCAGCCTGTCCTTCCCACCCCCTGGGTTTTACCTCTTTTCTTTAGTGGGTGGATGCCATAGATAGGCTTTCTTGGACCATTTTTTGTGACATCTGTGAAGAGTATCTACTCTGAAAACTTCTCACTTTGTTCTCTCGGCAAGAAGAGCAGAAATTAGAATGCCCGTCTTAGACCAGCTGCACCAAATCACTTACGGGAGCAGGGAAATGCTTATTCCCCAAGAAAGCACTGTGCGACAGAGGTCTGCCTTGATGGTGATGCTGCAGTGCTGTGTAGTGGGGCGTCTGGAATGCTGGTTCCCTTCTTTGGGGTGACGCCTTACTTATCCTCCAGTCTCTTCATCTCGTGTCTCCCTCCTACTTTCGTTTTCTCCCCACAGTTGCCTTCCTAGCCTCTCTGGCCACCTGTCTCTTTCTCTCCTCTCTCCCCATCCTGTTATCCCTTTTCTTTCCATCCCTAATTTGGGCCTCCCTACCCCTTTTTAGGAGTAGTGCTAGAACCACGGCCTCATGAACAAGTTCTGTATCACCGGCCCCAGTGCTTGTCCCCACTGCTGCCCTTCCTGGTCTGCTCTCTCCTCTTCCTGCCCTACCACTTGCCCCACTCTCCTTCCTTCCCTTATGCCCTTTCTCATCTCTTATTTCCTTCCTTTTCAGTCCCATTCCCTCTTTCTCCAGGACCCTGATACAAGACATCTAATAACTGTGGAGACTGACTAACTTAGAGATGCTATGGAATTGAAATCTAGAAGGACTTGCTGCCATTTCTTCTTTCTAGGATAACTTCACCCTACCAATGGGTAGACAGAATTAGAAACCCTGACCTAAACCTAGGTACCCTGACTTCTGGTAGTGTCTTCTCAGACCTCACTGAGTTTCTCTGTGGCTGGAGGATCAATGACATGTTATGTTCCATCCTCATCTTTGCTCAGCAGCGTATTGCGAACTTAGAGAGACACTGGGATGAATCCTTGCTGAGTTGGTTCATAAGGAGTGAAGTGAGGTTTGTAGCACTGAAGCCGGTAAAGAGAATGTGAGTCACATAGAGGCCAGACCTCATTGTGAAATAGAGTGCCCTCCCCAGCTAGTCAGAAATACATAGCAAGTAAATAGTGTAAGAAAAACTATGGCCGTTTCCATAGAGAGCTACTGCTCAATGTCCCTAGGAAAGGGAAAAAAAAAATAGCATCTCAAAAATAAGACTGGTAAGGAAAGCAGATAACAAGCCTGGTGAAGGCCGCCAGAGACCTACCAACAAGGCTTCCTTCCAGTTTCCCAGGGGAAAATTAAATGGAGCACCACATTTCCTTTACATGGTAGGCAAGTGAGGTATTTCCTGCCATCTCCATTCTTTCCCACTCCACTTTCCACTGGCTGTGTTGTTCCTGAGTGAGCAGAGATGGAAGCTCAGATGATGCTGTCTCAGCGCAAGGCAAGACGGAAGGGCTCCAGTAAAGAGGGGTAGGCTGGCCCCGGGAGCCCCACCAAGCAAGCTACCTGTGCTACTGGGCAAATTCTCCAGCTTTCCAGAGTCTGTTTAATTTCCTTTGTTCTGTCTGTACCTTTATGCCAGGTGCTAACTGGCATCCAGCCAGCTGCACTTTAGAGAGGGATAGTGTGCCCGCTGAGGTGGGAGCACTGAATAGGGTGAATAGCCTGCTTCCCCAGGCTACACTGAATTATTTAGAGACAGGAAGAGACTCTGGCTGTCAAAGGCTGGAAGCAATTGGCAGTGAGTACTATTCTGCTTCTTTCTGAGGTGATGAGAACAGTCTAGAAATAGTAGTTCAATTTTGCAACTGTATTAAAACCACTAACTTGTACATTTAATGGGCTGAATCTCATAATGTGTCAACCATATTTCAATAAAAGAAGCTTGAAAATGAAAAAGAAGATTGAATTTTGGAGAGATGCTCAGTATGGCCAGGACCAGTCACTTTCCCTCAGGTATCCTGTGTAGCTGCAAGAGGAAAGGATTACCTAATTTATTCTAGTCTAATAAACACTCGGGAGTCGGAAATTGAAATAGAGACCTGGAGAATGCAAAGAAAGTACGGCAATTGGCCGACCCTCTCTCCATGTTCTGTAGACCCTCTCACCCCAGAACTCCTCCCAGCTCTCCTCCTGCCCTTTCTAGCTGCCCTACAAAGTCCTCCAAGAACTTTATGGCTAATCCCAGTCAGCCAACAGCTTACACTATCCTAAATTGAAGATTGCTTTATTGGCACAGTGGAATGGCTGTCTGAACAATTCTCCTGCCACAGTCCTGCCTGCAGATTGTCAGTATTTAGATGTCTTACAGCGTTTCCATTTTTATAATGGGATAATGGTCCACTATTCCCCACAATTTACAAGTGCGTGTGCGCCTCTGTCCCGCGCTACCGTCTCGCCAGCAAGAACCACGCGGTACACATAGGATACTTCTGCAGTAAAGCTTTAATGCCCCTTGGGAGAGCGGGCATCAGCCAACATGGCGGAGACCCAGATAAGATGGAACCCAACCCTTATAAAGGAAACAGTCCTCGCTTCTGACGTGTCACTCTTGGATGGGTCCACTGCCCATTATCCCAGATGATGCCTCGGGAGTAGGCAGGGACGCAGCGGTAGAGAGTTACCAAGCACGTGCGCTGGGATTAAAGGCGTGTGCTACATCACCTTGAACTCACAGAGATCTGCTTGTCTCTGCCTCCCAGGCATTGGGACCAAAGGCGTATACTACCACGCCTTGAGGTCACAGAGGTCAATCTGCCTCTGCCGCCCAGGCATCAGGACTAAAGGCGTGTACCGCCACACCTTGGGGTCACCGAGGTCAATCTCTACCTTTGTTCCTAGAAGCAATGGAGAATGTGGTCCGGCCCTCCACACGCCTCCAGTGTTGACCATGAATGAATGCTTCATTTTTATTATTGGTGTCAAAAGGAACAATAAAGTTCTCTTTCCATTTTTCCACAAATTCTGTTTGCAAGTGTTATAGCTCCAGAGGGTTCGGTATCCTGACTTGTCAGGAAGTCGGGCTACACCTGGAAATGTCACAGCTCGGGAGGAAAAGGTAATGTGACCTGCTGGGAAGTCAGGCTGCACCTACAGCTGTGGGGGGAGGAGAAGACAGCCTGGCTTCAGGCTGTCCCTAAAACTGGGACCCAGCAGGGAATGGGCTCCCCCCAGATGTGGCAATCCTGAGCTTTATAGCTCAGCTTTGCTCCACCCCCCTAAGGGAGGATCCCTTTCGTCTTAGCTCAGTGCTGGCCCAAGGTGTTGCCTTTTCTGTTTCACTCTGCTAAGAGGGAACCGGGCGCAGTAATGTGCGCAGTAATGTAGCAATCTGCTCCGACTCTGGAAAGAAGTTTTTACTTCCTCACCACTCCCAAGGGAAACTAATTTCCCTTTCTCTGCTCTGCTCCCCTAAGGGAATGTCCCAGCTGAGCTTCTGCTCCACAGTGGAGAAAGAGGATCTTCACCCAGAAACTCGTTCAAGAGATTTATTTGGGAAGGAGGAATCCAGGAGAGTGGCTTCCTCTGCCAGGGTAGAGAAGGACAGCTGCCAACTGAAGAGGCAGAGGGCCCTAAACAGGGCTTCTTAGGGGTGGAGTTTTCCCAGGGAGAAGATTTTCAGGGAGGGAATAGGTCAGATTTCGATCCCCTTGGTCTTGGACAGGCTCAGATTGATTAGATTTTGTGCTCAGGGATTGGTTAGTTTTCCTGCTCAGGGATTGATTGGTTTCCTGATCACAGGCACATTTGACTTTGGTTTCAGAGGCAACGTGTGTTTCTTTCACTGTCCCTTTTTAGCCTTTTGGCTCTAGTTTTAGGGCCAGTGTGTGTTTCTTTCACTGGCTTTGGTTCTAGGGTCAAAGTGTGTTTTCTTGGCTCTGATTTTAGGGTCAGGATGTGTTTCTTTGGTTATGGTTTCAGGGCTACAGTGTGTTTCTTTACTGGGTCTAGTTTCGGGGCCAAGGTGGATTTCTTTGGCTGTCCTTTTGACCCTACACTTGTTTTCCATAAACCTCTTTCTGGAATTTGTATCCCACAGGCCTGGACTACTGCCCCACTGCTCGAACTGTGTCACTAGGTCTATAGTTTACCTATAAACCTATGTCTGTCTGTCTTTTTCTTTATTTCCGTTTTGATTTTTTTTCTTTTGAGATAGGGACTCTAGGTAGCCCTGGCTGGTCTGGAACTTGCTATGTAGACCACACTGGCCTTGAACTCATAGACATTCACCTGCCTCTGCCTCCTGAGTAGTGGAATTAAAGGCATGAGCTGCCATACCAGCGTCTAAGTTGTTTTGAACGCTGCCTAATCTCCACCCATTAAACAATCCTTAGACTTGTTTGTACTACTAGACTTACAACTCCCTTTTGTAATATGTTTATCTACCTGACTCCTGTGCCAGAATTTGAGGCCCCCTGAGGTCAGATACTGTGTCTTATTAATTTCTGGTTCCCTGTTGCCTCTGTCTGGCAGACA